GCACCCACATGGGAGAGTTTGGATGGCTCCAGCTTGATCTTGCCTGGCTTCCTGATTTCCTCCAACCGGGTGCATGTGAACTGGCACTACTGTGTGGTTGGAGGTGCTTTTCCTCGATGACAATTTCAGTCAAGCACCTTTTCAGTGTGGGATGTTTTATTTTAAACTTTGTAAGGACTTGCTTTCTGAAATGTGGAAATCAGAGAGAACATTTGGTGAACTGAGTTAATGATGCTTTGCATATGATGTGAAATATTTATGCCTAATTCAATAACAAATAACTCAGGCTGTGCTGTGAATGAGCATTCAGCTACCCAAATCAGTATAGATCTCAAACATCTCAAGTGGCTAGATCACAGAGCCCTCCACATAGATTATAAATAGAAATGGAGACACTTTGTCTGTCCTGACCACGAGGATTCAACAGCTGGCGGGGAGGCATCCATCCCACCCTGGCCCACAGGGCTCCAAAAGGGGCTTGGTTGGAGCTGGTAGCCCCCCTCTGGTTCCTTCCGCACACACTTTGCTCTTGGCTTGGGTGTTCCTGGGGTGGGCTTGGTGAAGTAGGAATCCCACCCAAGTGAGTTGGCGAAGTAACCCCACTTGACTCCACCCTGGACTTTGAAAAGACATCACTGTTGTATTTTGATTGAAAATAAGCAAAAGCCTTGGGTGTGGACATTCAGCCAGATATAAATAAGAGAATTAGCACATAAGAGACTTTGTGGCCCAGGGCCTCTCACCAGGCGCTGGCCTCTTTGTAAGAACCCTTCTTAGGCTCCTGTCTGCCTTTGAGTGAGGCCCAAGGTCACCAGTAAATGGCAGGGACCAGCCTTTGAGCTGAAATTCAAGGGTCCTCCTACTGCACTGGGGCTCACTGAACCTGGGAGATTTACCACCTGTGAGTGATGTTCAGGGTCCCATGACTTCTACATCTGCTGCAGTCCCTTGTCATTGCATATTTCCTCTCCACCTTAGATGGCTACTAGTGAGCAGAGCAGAGGCTCAGAATGGCCCCTTCGAGTGGACAGCAGCAGCGCCCTGCTGCTTACCTCCATTACGAAATTGTCCTACAATAAAACACATCCTTGAGTCAATTTGCAAGAGGAAGGAAGTTTGCTGCTGCAGTCTAATTGTGTTAGGATGAAAAGATCTAAAGATAAAAGTATAATGCTACCCCTGGTGCTGAAACAAGTCAGATAAAGGCAACAACTTTGTGTGGATACTGAAACTTCAGCGGCTGAGATGTCTCCCTGTTTGCCCTCACCTGGAGCTGAGCTTGGTCCCAGGCCAGATAGGACCTTGTGAGGCAGGGATAATTCCCACTGAAGGGCTACATGGCTGTTCGTCCCCTGCCCTGCACCAGACAGGGCAGGCTTCCCAGACGGGCTCCCAGAGCTGGTGCTGGGGGGCCACTCTGCCTTTGGACCCTGCACCTAGCTGCCCTGTCCTCACCATGCTAGGGGATCAGAAGAGAAGCACTGTCTTCTCCCACCCTCGACCCCTCCGACTCAGGGCCCTTCTTAACCTCTCTCCTCAAAAGTGACTCTGTGATGGGATAATTGGCCGGGAGTCTCCATTTACGTCTGGGCCGAGACAGGAATGTTGGAAAGCGGGAGCTGTCTGTAAAGCATTGTGCGCTCACAGAGACGGTCTGTAAAGGAGCCGGGCCCTGCCTGACCCTTTTATTGAACTGGCGGGTGGGGTGACCCCACTTCCTGTCCCAGACTTGTGACATTGGAGCAACCGGGCGCGCACACAGTGAAGGGGGAGCCGAGGGGCTAAGGCTCACTTTTGTCACCATCAAGCACCTCCATCTCCATGAACTGGTGGCCGCAGCATAACTCTTTTACAAAATTAAACACAGTGGACAAGGACCTTGAAAAAAATTGTCAGCACAAAGTGCAAAATTGCCCTGTCCATAAATGAGAATAAAGCTACAGGAAGGATGAAAAACTACAAATGTTCAGAGCCCGTTGCCACAGAGGCATCATATGACAAACTAAAGATCCTGTGCCTTAATCCCAAGTGGGAAATGTTTTTAATTATTTCCAGCTTTCTGAGGGTGGCCAGTGACCATTTAAGATGTGAATGCGTTGTAGATAGTCCATTTGTAGCAACATACCTAGTAATCCCATTTTTCCACACAGTAATCCCATTTTTCAAACCTAAAATGGGGCACTTGATCTAAGGTGCAATGTTATAATTAGTCCTGCCCCCAAAAGTTCACAAGTGTTGGTTTCCACAGCTTGGCTGCAGGGTAGCACATCGCAGCAATCAGCAGTCTGTGAGCTCTGCACCCCACGCAGCCTGCGACTGATCAGAAATTCTGGAACCAGCCTATGTGCAAGCCAGAAAGGACTTCGCTGAATTAGTTGGATTCTAAATGATGCTCTGGGAAGTCACACTCTCGTTCTCCTCTTGCTACATTTGTGCAACACATATTCTTTGAGCTCCTTCCATGGGAGCCACTGAGCTGGGCCCTGGGGATAAGACAACTGTGAGTGGTGGGCATGGTGGGTGCTCCGTGGGTGCTGGTAGGAAGCTATGAGGCCCAGCCCAGGCTAGGAGCCTCCCTAAAGAGTGACATCTCGGCGCCAGCAATTGAGTGAGATTAGAGGAACAAACAGATGAAAAAAGCATTACAGAGGGGACAGCTTGTGCAAAGGCCCTGAGGCTGGAGGGGCCTTGGCCCATTTAAGAAAGTCTAAGAATGTGAGGGCAGCCATCACCCAGAGCAGAGGGTGGGTGAGGAGGCCCCATAGACAGCCCTCAATGGAACCAAATTCACATTAACAATGGTCCAGCCTCTGAGACTGTAACTCTGTCACAGAAAGAGCAGGAATGGTCGGTAGTATCAGCTCTATCTCCAGTACACGGGAAAGCTGTCTGTCATCATGGTGAGCTGTACAGAAAACAGACAGCCCGTGGTGTCCATAAGTGAGCTTGGAAGTGTGACAGTTTGCTGGTGAGAGGAAGTGCTAGCTTGAAGCCTCTGCCATTCAGCATCAGGTCTAAGAATTACTGTAGAAATGTCCACCATCGGAGGCCTTGACAGTCATAGTTCTCTTTCCTCTTAAGTCTGGAAGTTGAGTCCTGGTGGGAGATTTGGGAATCCAGGGCAGATGTCTCCAGGATCACAGCAAGGTCTGGGAATCACTCCAGCCCGGTGTCCAGCTTGTCACTGACTCTGGGTCCCCAATTATTAAAGGACTTGCCAGCTCATGGTGTCATGCTATTCCCTGCTGCCCCTGGGACATCTCCAGACTTCAGGGAGATCCTTATTTCCCAGGGGTCTGTTTCAATGACATGCTCCTCCCAGGGCTGCAGAGGTCGAACGTGAGGAAAAGTAGCACAGGTTTCATATGTGATAGTGCCGTGGTCATTCCTTCCTGTTGAGAGAAGACGACAGCAATGCAAAATTTAAACCTCAAGGCCGCGTATGAATTGCACCTAACACTCATTCCAGCCTTAAATCACCTTATCTTGAATTAAAAATACATATTCTGAGATCTCTTGGAGTGATTTTTCCAACTCTGTTTTTCTCCCACAAATGAAAGCCATTGCTGAAACATCTCAGTGACACTGGGAAATGCACCCATGCCACCAAGCTGCCCAGGGGAGGCCCAGCGCCACTCCTGACTTTTTGAGTTTAATGAGCATTTACTGTTTTTCCTGCCTGGCCCTGAATGCTGCCGCTGCTCTGTCAGGCCCAGCAGCCCTCCCTAGTCACTTCCTCCTCAACACAGGCGGTGGAAGGGCCAGCCAGCTGTGGTGGTTGGCAGCTCCACAAATGGCACAGCCAGGATCTTTGGGACCCGCCTCTGTGTTTTAGTGTGCCACCTGTTTTCACTTGCTCGTTTGCAAGACCAGAAGAACAGGATTTAAGGCTGATCTGTGCAGATAGCATTTTGCTTCTTCCCCTGGAATTTTCAGGGTAAAAGATCTCCATGGCCCATATTCTAGGCTGTTCGTGGCCTGCATCTTAAACTGGGTATAGAAGAACTGACCTTTTAAGCTGTTTGCAAGGCATCAACATGAGGTGTGAATCTCTTTAGAGAAAATGTGTTAATGTACAAGACTGCAAATTTTGCTATACAGCTGGGGTCCAGTGACATAAGATATTGGCTATAAGTCACATGATCGCTGGCCTGGCATTGACTCAGAAACACAAAAGACACCCCAGCACACCCAGCTTTTTGGTCCACCTGTGACACCCCAGCATCACACACTAGGCAGTGACCTTACATCTTTAGTCAGGCTCTAGGTTTTCCCCTAGAGTCTTGTGAAACCTTCTTACTTCTGGTTGATGCCACCAGGGTGTGGCTGGAGGTGCTGCCAGTTTACTTCCAAACCCCTGATCTAGAACTTGCCGCCTGCAGCCTGCTAAGCCGTTTTCCCTCTCAGTGCCAGGCTTGGGGACTTGGCTCAACACCCTCTTCAATGTCACTGTCAGGCAGGTGGTGAGGCCCTGCATGTGATGTATCTGGAGGCTGGAGGCCCATTACTGTGGCTAGGTTTCCCCTCTGAGCAGTAAGTCTTTGCATAAGCAACAGGTAAGGGCCCCAGGAGTTGCCTGGACCACTTCCAGCACATGGGTGGAGACTCACAGAACAAAGCGTGTCTGTTTTCGGTGCTGTTCATTGACTACTGGTCGTAGGAGTCAGTCCTCCAGCTCCCGGCCCTTCCCCTTTCCTCATGTCTCCCCTTCTGCCTGCATGTCCCTCTCTGTCCCCCTTTCTCCCTACCCCCCTCCCCTCTTTCTTCCTTTCTCTGTGCCTCTGACACACCAGATTTTAAATATTGATGAATCACTCAGCACATTGCTTTTTGTGCTCTGAGAAACAAAGGTTTCTGAGTATTGGAAACTGACATTTTTTTTCCAAGCACATGACTGCCGGCCCCTTAGTTGTCTGCTGATGTGGGGCTGACCCAGACTTGTAGTGCATCAGGCGGTGTTTCCACCAAGTGACAGGTGTGTCCGTCTGCTCTCCCCTCAGATGAAATCATGCACCAGGACATCAACCCGCTCTGTGCTGCCGACATCCAGGATCAGCTGAAGAAGCGCTTTGCTTACTTGTCTGGTGAGTACAGGAGGCCAGGGAGTGTGGGGCCAGTGTCTGCATGGCAGGTGGTTTAACTGAGGGCCCAGGAGATGCTATAGCGATGCCCGTGAAGAGGGCAGCTCAGTGCTAGTCCTCAAGCAGCCATGGGAAGAGCTGGCCAGAGGCCATCTGGGTCCTGAGAGAATGGCAGCTCCAAGCACTGCTGGTTGCAGTCTCCTGGAGTTCAGCACTTTCCTGCAGCAGGTAAAGTAGGCACAGGATGGTGTGGCACAGTTGACCTCATCCAGGGCCTGGGCACTTCCCTCACTGAGCAACTCTGGCTTCTGCAGCTCCATCCTCTGGGAAAAGTCCCTGTTGTGTGGCTGCTGTGGGCAAGGGGCTGGCACTGCCCCTGGGGTCTTTCCTGGGTAGCTTTGTATCCCCAACCCCTGTCTTGGCACTGCCCTCCTCTCAGGTCGAGGCTCCTCCTCCACCCTGTGAAACGTCCTGCTGTCCTGCCCAGCCGGCCGTGGTGCATGACCCAAGCCACTAGACAGAGCTGGTACATCAAAGCCGCAATGGGCATGGTGACTGCACCTGCAGCAGATCGTCTTCAGAGCTGTGTGGGTCACTNAGTAAATCAAGGCCGCAATGGGCATGGTGACTGCACCTGCAGCAGATCGTCTTCAGAGCTGTGTGGGTCACTCCTCCATCTGGGCAATTTAAGAAAAGTTACGCACACCTTGCTTATGCTGTTAGTTAGGGAGCTTCCCGAGAATGAAGGCACTCAGCCTCTGCCATCCTCTGGCCCCCTTCTTACAGCTGGCCCTTTCCCCTTGGCCAGCAGGTTGGGGCTCCCTCCTGAACCCCAAGTATCAGCCCTGCCCCCACGTGGTTCAGCCGACCTGCACCCCAACACATGGACCCGAGGTGTAGCTCTGGGGTTTATGGCCTCATGGGAACTGAAGATTGTGAACAGGAAAATGGATCTTCTGTGATTTGTTGACAATGAGATGGCTTATTGATTTTTATGGGGCGATCATGGTGAGGGGTGCTGGCCTCATGGAGAAAGGAGAGAAAGTGGAGGTCTTAGGAGAAATAAAAATTCCGATAGAACGAGTCATGGCCAATGGTAACAGCACACTTAGGAGCTGCGGTCTTTGCCAGCCCCTTCTCATCACCACAACCTCTTCACACTGCCTTCAAGACCCCAAATGGCTCAGGGCTGTGTGCACCGATAACCCAGACTCATGACCTTGACCTTTGTCCAGGTTGCGATCCCACTGCCCTTCAGTATCGTGTAGTTACCTCTTTGGTGGCTGGGGAGGAGGCAGAACCCCAGGTTGCCCCCCACCCAGACACACCTTCTCTCTGGTATTCAGATGCTGGCCAGGTGCTCAGGAAAGGGATTTTCAGACAAAATTAAGGTCCCAAATCAGCTGACCGTAGGATCATTCTCGGTGGGCCTGACCTAATCAGTCGAGCCCTCAAAGGGACCAAATTCCTCCTGCAGGAGGGATTCCAAGTATGACCTACAGAGATTTATTGCCACCGGCCTTGAAGATGGAGGGGCCACCTGGCAAGAAGTGTGTGCCTCTGGGGGCTGATAGTGACCCAGCCAATACCAGTAGGAACTTGGGGACCTCAGTCCTATAATGAAGGGAGCTGAATTCTGCAAACACCTGAATGAGCCTGGAATACGAGCCTGGTCTCAGGTGAGACCACAAGCCTGGCTGTCACCTGGATTTCAGCCAGCGAGAACCCACTTAGCCAAGCCACGACTCTGAGCTACGCAACTGTGGGCTGTTGGTTTGCATGACCAAGTTTGTGGGAATTTGTTAGAAAATGAGCAAACACCTTAAGCTTCAATGTCTAAAACAAACCCAGACTATCCTGGGTTTTCACCAAAGCTCATGGAAACTCTCAAGCAAAACCAGGAGAGCATCCTAGTTCTCTCCATCCCACCTGCCATCCATCAGGAAATCCGAGATAAGATCTCTGGTAGCATCCACCTGGGGGGCTGGCTGGAACGTTGGGGGCTTCACTCATATATGGCACCTCAGGCCCCTTCATGGAGGCTGCCCCTGCCTCCCTGGCAGTGCCTGGGCTTCTTCACCGCATGGTGGATGCAGCGCTGCTGGCTGCTTCCATGGTAGCCTTGGTAGTTACAGCTCAGCCTTGGTAGTTACACACATCTCTTCTGCCACATATGATGGGCTAGAATGGGTTTCCAAGCAAGACTCAGGTTCAGCAGAAGAGAAATGAACCCCATCCCTGGAGGGAGCGGTGGCAGAGAGTGGCATCTGTCCTCAATCCAGGACACAGGAGAGAGTGCAGACTGGAGCCTAGACCTGTGCGAGTGCTGTCTCTTCTCACCTGCCCTCTCTGCTGCTTCTCCCAATTGTTTGTGGGACAATTCAAACCAAATTTGTCCCAGACCAAACTCACAGCCTTCCTCTCTAGGGCAATCCCTCCCCAGCTGCCCCACTGGGTTAGAGCTGTGCTCAGGTTCCCAGATCCCAAGCCACACACCTGGCCGCTGTTTCTGATTACTTGTGCACCATCTCTGTTTTCCTGTGTGAAATGTCTCAGGTGTCTCTCCCCTTGGAGAAGTCCCCTCTGGTTCCATCTGTACCCTCCCTTCATTTTAAAATGCTGAAGGGTGACTCCTTTCAGAACAGAGTTTTCTAACAAGTAGAATATCGGAGAAACTGCCAGATGCCCCCACACAGGGCATTAGGAGAGTCATCAGGACCCAGCCTGAATGAAATGTTATGCAGTATTTAAAATAACGGACATGTCATTTTTAAAACACAGAAAACTGTAGTTCACAATGTTGGGAAAGGAGCAGGACTCCAGCTGTATATTCAACACAGTCTTAATTAGGTAGGAAAATGCATTGAGAAAGATTTGGAGAGAAATATGCCCAGTGTTATGGTGGCTGCCCCATAGCAGTAAAATACGGGTTGGTTGTTTTAATTCATCTCACTTTTTTGTACATTCCAAATATTTCCTTCAATAAGAATGCACTTATTTCATAATAAAAAATAAAACGTTGGCCTTGGTGGGGTGGTTCAGTTGGTTGGAGCATCATCCCAGATATTAAAATATTGTGGGTTCAATCCCCAGTCGGGGCTCATGCGGGAGGCAACTCATGGATGTTTCTCTCACATCAATGTTTCTCTCCCTTTCTCCCTTCCTCTCTAAAAATTAATAAAAACATATCCTCAGGTGAGAATTTAAGAAATATATATATATTTTTATATATATTTACATATACATATATTTATATAAATATATATATATATTTAAGAAATACATATAACGTGGAAGAACACACTCTCAATCTTAAGTGTTCCACTGACAACGTGGCACCAATGCCGCCCAGTTCAGTGCTACCTCTGCTTTCTCCCCAGGTGGGCGGGGGCAGGACGGCAGCCCTGTCATCACCTTCCCGGACTACCCAGCCTTCAGCGACGTGCCCGACAAGGAGTTCCAGAATGTCATGACCTATCTCACCAGCATCCCCAGGTGGGTGGCACTGAACCCCAAGCAGCTTTGCAAAGGGCCCTTGTCAGATAAGGAGACTGGCTGAGAGGAGCTCAGGAGCCTGCCTGAGGTTATGCAGCTGAGCTGTGAAAGATGCTGGATCAGAACCCAGTTGTCCTAGCTCCAGGGCTGCCACCCTTCCCCTCACAAGTGGGGGGTGTCCAGCTCCGGCCTGCAAGCCCAAAGGATATTTCCTTCCTCACAGTCAGCGTCCAGTCCTTCATTAGACCAGCAAGATGTGCTGGGGAGGGAGGCTGCACACACTGCAGAGGTGGCCGTAAGACGCTGGGGCTGGGGCCTGGCCCTCCGAGGTGGTGAGGAGGTCACCTCACTGTCTGATCCAGGAGCTCTGCTTCTGTTTAGGATGCTGCATAAGGGTGGGAACAGCCGTGCACGTGGCGTGTCTTCCTCATACATATGTATGAGGAAACAGTGTAGGGCGACCTTTCACCAGTGGTGCATGCAGGAGCTCAGCGTCACAGGCACTGGGGATGCTCTCCTTCTGCCTCATCGTCTGTAAGGACACGTTTCAGAATCTGGGTAACGCAGACCTCTGTGAAGGAGTCTAGTCTAGAAAACAGACCAAAACAGCATTTGGTGAACTGATGCATAATCTACAAAAACCACCAATCAGTAATGACCGATCACCCCCTATTGGTGCTGGAGGGGGGGGTGCATAGATTATTTTAGCAACCTGGCTGGTGGTGGAGGAAGGGAGGCTGGATAAGTTGGGGGAGGCTCTGGACAGACATCGTTGGTAAGTGACCCTTGACAGGAAAAAGCGGGCTCTGCGCTCCCTGGCTCAGCGGTGTGGGTCTGCAATCACCGTCTCTGTTGTCCTTCCTTTGTCCCTACACATCTCAGTGTGCCAGGCTTCAGGTGGCGAAGCTGAGGCAAGAGGGATGGCTGGCACCCTGGGAGTCAAGTAGCCCTCCTAAAGGGCCCCCTCTGGCCAGCTGTTCCCCCTCAAGGGGCTGAGGGAAGTACTTCGAGGTGGGGACTGCCATACTCCAAAGTGTCTCCATTTATTTTCTCCCTTGACCCTCAAAACCATAGAGACAGAAAGGCAGTTGTCATGCCAATTCTATAGATGAAGCCACTGGGCCTCAGGATGATGTCACTAAAGTAAGATCACGCATCTAGAAAGTGCCTAGAAGATTGAGACTCCCCATATGGTGTGATGCAGAGGGGTGTCGTTGGGGTGGGGACCCAGGACCGTGCTCCAACGCTCTGTGTGCCCAGCAGCAGGCTGCTTAAATGCTACATGACCCCCTTGCGGTAGGGACTCGCGGGGACAAATCAACAAGAAGAAAGGGGCAGCACTTTGAGCACGAAATGATGAGCTCAGCAGTGGCGTTAGGGAAGAACAAATTCAAATGATTTAAAAAGGAAACCCGAGGGCTGTAGTTGGCAGTCTGGCTGGTCTCCCCGAGGGTGGGCTTCTGCCCCAGCTTCTGGAGCCTCCCCTGCAGGGGACCGTCTCCCAGGGGTGGAGGGTAGTCCCACATCTGGGAGAGGCCGTGGCCCTCATCCCTTTCTCCCCCGATCGCTCCTTGGCCCCAGGCCTCTCTCCAAAGCCTGGCAGTGGAGAGAGCTCAGTACGATCTGATGAACACTGAATGCTAAGTTTATGAAGTCACTTCTCAGATGTCAAAGCTGTTTTTGGTCCTTACACCTTTGAGCTATAAGCTGGGCCATCTCCTCCCCTTAATTGAACCTCCGTTGGCTCATTTCCATTTTAGAAAACCTTGTGGAGTTGTTCAGTTACCTGCTTCACTTTTGCTGAATTGTAACCGGATAGAACCTGAGGAATTCAGAGGGTGTGGATGCTGAGGGAGCTCAGCACGTGCATGGCTGTAATGATCTTTGTTTCTAGAATCTCCCAGGGCCTCCTCACTGCCCAGCTCATTTTCTCTCTGTCTTGTACTTCTACTCCCATTTAGGGACCTAAAAGGCCTGTAGATGAAAATTCACCACAAGCCATCTCTGTAGTTATAGGCACGGTTCCCGAGCCCTGGCTGAGGCGGTGGCTAGCCCAGGACTCGGTGCCTCGAGAGCGCGTCTTTGCTGCAGTAACCGCTCAGCACCTGGCTGAAAAGTGGGTGCAGGGCTCACAGGGACATTCTAGTTGGTCCCCCACTGCCCACCTAAGATGGGTTCAGTGGGGTAAATCCTTCCTTGCCTGTGGAGGGAAACTCAGGTTTTCTGGTCACTCTTAGATTTTAAAAGGTCAGAGAATTATTTTATATCTGGAAATGTCAACACCCAACATTCTAAGCCTAACGTAGAGGCATACCTCCTTCTGCCCAGGCCGCAAGCAGGAGGGATGCTGGGAAGGGGGCAGCCGGATTTCCAGCACCTTCTCAGGCCCCTTTCAGGCTGGTGCCATCTTCTCCTGTGGGGGTCACTACCCTTGCTAGTCTTGCTGGTCCTCAGCCCTTCTGGCCTTAGGGCCTTTGCACTTACTGTCCCTCTGCTGGCTCCCTGGAGATGCTGCTTCTCACACTCCAAGCCACCCCTTCAGGGTGGCCCTCCCTCATGCCTATTGTCCTTTCACCCCCAGACCCATCACCTATCAGGCTTACTGGCTTCATGGGCTTATCTGAAATGGTGGTAATTACTCTTACAGCTTGATTTTGGCCTCTGTCTATCCTAGAATGTAGTTCTTGGACAGTAGGTACATGGCTCCTGAGTAAATATTTGCTGGACAAATAAACATCTGCAGGTGAATAAAATAAATTCACACAGGCTGAGCTGCCTAATGTGTCCCCTGTCATTTCTCACTCTAGCACATTTATCTCCCCTTCCATTAGAATAAATAGCTTTTGTTTCTCTCTTCTTTTAGTTTTAAGGGTTTTTATCCCCCATAGAAGGGAGTCTTTTCAAAACCCTGATCTCTAAGAATGCACGCACAATACATACGCAAGATCAGAGGGCAAGAAACACAAGTTTTCTTTTGAAGTCTGAGGATTGCACATTACCTCTTCTTTATGGTACATGGTACTAGAAAAGTGTCCAAGACGCCAGTGTGAATATTTGAAGCCTAGGCCCGCAGGCCCCATTTTCAGGGAAATTGGTGTGTATTGGGGTTTCATTTGTGTATGTTTTACTCACATTTCTTTCCTGTTGAGGCTGATAAAAAGCCCAAATGCTGGAGCGATGGATCTCAACCTGTCAGACCCAATGCACCCTTCTCATCCAGAAATAAAATCTTAAATAGAAAGACAGCTGCAACACCCTAACTAACATGAAGGACCAACAGAGAAAAGGAATTAGGTGTCACGTGTATAGCAGGCTATATAGGACTCATGAAGGTCAGATGGGCACTTGTACCCACGTGTACAACTCTGAGCCCATCAGCCTCCAGGTGCTATGTCAGTCACGGCACCTCAAGGGGGGGTGCGATTGAGGATGTCATCTCGGAAAGGAAATAATTTTTGGTGGAGTGCTAAAGAAAACCAAAGGGCAGTGTCCCACAGCAGTTCACACAGCAGTTGCATCCCTAGAGAATTTCATATACATTAAAAATGTAGGGGAGAAACACCTGTGTCTTTAGGTAAAGCAAGGGTCCCCTGCGTCCCTATCTTCAGGATGAGGGACCACTTGGTGCCAGGGAAGATAGTGACAACTGAGAAACACGTCCAGAAGCATCTGAAGTGGCCCCAGGGTGCAGCCCCTTGAGCAGCACACGGGTGGGACAATCCCTTAGTTCTCCTGTGGGAATTTGCTCAGAGTGGTGCTGTTGTGTTGCGGGCACCCGCCCCCCTCCCCCTCCCGGTTAGAAGAGGAAGAGCGCGCTGCCCCCTGATGGACACAGCCAGCATTGCAGTTGGTCCCCTCCAGTGTCCCTCCTTAAGCCAGTTGGAGTCAGGAGCTGGTCAGGGGCCCCTAGAAAGAAGGGAAAATCTCCTCATACAGGCAAGTCACTGGCACAGGATTTATTCCAGACTTCTGCTGAGCCAACACAGCCTCTAAGTAGGAAAAGTGGAATTTAGAACCAGGTGTGCGCTTTTAACTGCCAATGCAAATTAAATGGACCAACCTCTCATGAGGACTGCTTTAAAAGATACTCTTACTGTTGTTAACCAAGCGTTAATTTTGTCCTTTTACAAAATATACGATGTGCTGATTTTAGTTCTTCTTCTGTTATTGCTACCAACGACAGGAGCCCCAATTTTAGCCATTTCACTTGATGAATAGTTATCGATCACTGTGAAATATTACCCTGAACCGGGCGGGCTTCGTCCAGCTGTATCAGACACACGTGACTATGGGGCAAGTTTCCGCCCTTTGGAAAACGACTCAGTGAAGGGGGCATGGAGGACTGGATGAGTTATTGGCTGGTGCGGCTGGTGTGTTGGCTGGCGCCCAGCCCACGTGGGAGCCACACTGTTGCCTACCACCCTTGCAAATCCTAATGGGGTTTGTTGGCCATCATCTGCCCGGCCTGGGTGGGACAGTCCTAGGGACTCGAGAGGACTGGTGACAGTGAACCACGGGTCCAACCCTGGAGAGTGGGCCTGTGACCTCCCTACAGACAGTCACACGACAGAAAGGCAGAGGAGGGTGCTCTGATTGGCTCACCCCCTGTCTGTCTATTGTGTGCTGGGCAACGTGGACCCAACAGTGAGAAAAATAGAAATCCTGCTGCTTACATTCTCAGTAAATTAACTAAAATGTGCACAGGGATTAGAGTATAAAAATGAGGACTGAGAGACGAGGGAGGGAGGGGTGCGAGAAGGTGCAGTGAGAGGGGCGCCCCCATGGAAAGGTGATATATAGGACTCATGGGGGACAGTCCTCACAAAGGTCCTGGGGGGGGGTGGGAGAGAGGAATTAGCAATGGTTTGGGGGAAGCAATTACCCAAGAATGGAGGAAGCACATAGGAGGGTTGCTTTAGGTTTGCGATGTCACTTGCATGTCCAGGGGACCTCTCAGGTCGAGGGCTGGTACCTCTGGGTACCATGAGGTGATTCTGGAA